TACATTTTTTTATGCTATAAGATCTTACAATCATATCTTAAGTAAATCCATCTATCTCGTTTGGCGTATATTAAGTTCTTTCTACAAAAATAAATACTTCAAATTTTATGGTCAGTGTGAATCTCGAAATTTTTACCATATAGATAATGATGCTAGATATTTAAGAAAAAAAACTATGACAGCTACTTCTAAGTCATGGTATGATAGTTATGCTCATGATTCTTTAATTTTTTAGAACCATATACTATCACTTTTCCGTGTTGCATTAACAAACATCATAATCCTTTATTTGAAGCATCACTGTAGATAGAGAATCCACCAATACTGCTAAAAATAGTCAAGACTAAAGCTATTGTCAACTGCTTCTCAGTTCCTAAAACTTTTGTTCACACCTATCATTTCACTCAAACTTTGTGTCATTTTTAGTTAGTTGAGTTAGTGGAGTAGTGATCTTTGAAAAACTTTCAATAAACTTCTTGTAGTGTCCAAGTAGATTGAGGAAACTTTGAACTTCAGTTACCGTTGTAGGCCTTTTCTAGTTTACTACCGCTTCTACCTTAGATGGATCTATTAATATCCCATCCTTTGAAATTATATGTTCGAGAAAGGCAACCTCCTTTAACTAAAACTCACACTTCTTAAACTTGACATGCAACTTTTTTTCCTAAGTATCCCAAGTTTGTGGACCCTATAAGTCAGAATGAATATAATTCAACTTACCTCTGGTCTTGTGCACTACCTTTTTGTTGAATTTCACTCTGTTTTGTTTGCAAAACACACAGTATTAATAAGAACCTTAGTTCATTCTTTATACTTGTTCAATAAACTCTATATGCTCAAAACAAATAATCCATTGTCACTCATATGACCTAAACATAAATGCCACAATTGCTTCTAATTATTGTTCTCTGATGCTACAACAGCTTTCCCTAAAGCTACATTTTTTAAAAAAAACATACAATCTAGATTCTAAACTATCTTTCATGATTACCTTAGAGCCTTTACATACTTTAAGAGTACCATTCTCTACATAATATTTATAATCTTGAGATGCCAATATAGAAAGAGAAATCAGATTCATCTCATCTGAAGAATATGTCAACACTCAATAGTTTTGATGACACCATCAAATATTCTTAATATGATGTTACCAATCCCAGCTACAAATAATGAACTGCTATTTTCTATATACACAATATCACTCATCTGCTTGGAAGTAGCAAATTAATATTTATGCAAACACATGTGGAATATAGCACCAGAATTAAGAATATAGAAATTCTTTATATGATCTGAACTCATAAATAAAAATACCCCAACACTATTATCACTATCATCAAATTTATCCCTATCAACTATATTAGCAAAACTCTCATGCTATTTTCTTTTATTCAGTCTAGGACAATATCTCTTAAAGTGACATTTCTCCTTACACTAAAAATAATTTTTCTTTTTACCTCTAGATTTTGAACTGCTAATTCTTTGTGCTCTTCCCCTCCTTCCCAAACTTTACTCTTTTGTTCTATGCTTTGTAAAGTTCTTTTTCAATTCTTTTGATTTTAGTGCATTGCTAACATCATCTAGTAAAATACTATATTTTCCATACAATAAAATATTAATAAAAGTCTCATAAGAAGATGGTAATGAACACAATACAATTAATGTATATTATTTTCAATCTTAATATCTATGTTATTCAGGTTCATAATTAAAGAATTAAACTCATTAAGATTCTATTTAATCGGTATACTTTCACTCATTCTCATATTATATTGCATTTTC